AGATATTAATAAGGAACCAGCAGATCAAGTAGCTTTTGGAATAAAACACCAATTTTTTTAAAATTAAACACTATCTAAAGATTTGCATCGAAGCGTTTATTTTTGATAGTGATTTTAATCACTGTCAGATATCATTTACTTGATCCAACTATGCCACGTCACCACTGTGCCGCGACCCCCCTGTGCTGGGTTTTTTTTTTTTAATCCTAATCTTAATAATTAAGCGCTTTGAGTCAACCCTAATCTTAAGTGTAAAAAAACTATACTAAAATTATATAAAATGTCAAAATAATTTTTAATCTATTCATCTGTAATTATTTATACATTTTATTCTTACTTAACAATAACTTACTTTATGCTTTATATAACAATAAAAGTATGCTAATTCTCCTATCTCAGTAGACTTGTGAAGAACTCATAAAAAATTGTATTTCACAAATAATGATTATTTAAATAATTCAAAATGTTTTTCCGTAAAATTCATGTAGTTAAAATAATTACAGTGATATTTTGTTGAAATAAAAAGTTTGTGAAAAAGATTACATTACTGTTAAAAGTTAAACAAAACCTTTGTATCACAATGGGTTTGTGATACAGTGTGGACACGGCATAGTTGGTACAAGTATATATGATATCTGAGAGTGACTAAAAACACTATCTTAAGAAACGCTTCGATGTAAATCTATAGTTAGTATTTAATCTCAAAAAATTGACGGATTACTCCAAAAGCAACATAAACTCCTATTCCCTTACTTATATACTTTGATTTATAAATTTATACTCATGAATAAATTTATAGTTTTAATTATAGTAATTAAACTTAGTATGAAATTGACCTAGAATAATTTAATATTAAAAATTTTACGGAGAAATTATAAAAGATTATGAAGTAGTTGTATATTTTATTATTTGTGTGGCAAACCTAAAATAAGATTTTGATGTAAAACTTTTCAGAAAATAATTTCAAATAATATTGTATAAACAAGAAATTTTCATTAGAGACAATAATATTCTTTTTCTAAATCAATTTTTGCGCTGATTTTAAACCGAAATTAAAATTTTTTCTATCACTTCTAATTTTTGAGATAAGTATAAAACAAATATTTCCATATAAAAAAAAAACAATCTAGTTTAAAATGAAATACAAAAACACATCAGCGTCATATATTATAAATTACTATAGAATATTACTAAGAATGCTAAATTTAGTCCTGAATTTTTACTACATCATCTATTTAAACACTAAGACTTATATACAAATGATTACTATGATTTTTATTGAAATGATTTATTTCGATATAAATATAAATAAGTTAGGACAAATCTAAGTAAAAATAAAAACTCGATCAAAGCCATAAAAGTAAAATTTGAAATCACAAAAATAGTATGTATTTTAACTACAACAGCTATTTGTACTTAAAAGATTAAAAAAATTATTTTTCATTGATGTCATATTATTTAACATAAGCTTTAAATTTACAAATGTTTAAGCTTGTAGAATTTTTGGAACATTTTCAAAAGTTAAGTTGAAAAAGTAAAATTTTTTGCAAAAGTTGTTATTTTAAATGTCCTTTGTGAACAGGTAAAGGGACAGACTTTTAAAAAAATGTAACAAAATAAAAGGAAAATTTTAATATAATTGCATCAAATACATTTTTTGTTTCGTTCATTATTAAAAAAACTGTGGCAGTTAACAAAAAAAAAGTAAAAATATACCGATGTTAAACATTTTTTGAGGAATTCTCTTATTTAATGGGAACGAGATGATATTATTTTATTAAAATAAATATTTGATTATGATAAGTTTAAAATAAATTTATTGAACTATTTAATTAAATTGTATTACATGACACTGTTTATAAGATATTGCAACACATAATTTACGATATCATCGTAGTTATTATCAAAGAAGTACTTAAAGTATAGTTGAGTTAAATTTTCCATACTTCTAAAGGATATAGATTCAATAAAATATCATTGGTCATAGAAATGATTGCTGAATATGCTACGCTTTTAGATAATTCGAAGTTTTCTAATGTCTTACTCTGGCCTTTATCATCCATATAAAAATTGTATAATGGTTTTTTTTTTATTTCTTCTGTACAAAGTTTATCAACAATAGACCTGTACAAATATATCGATAGGAATAAAATAATTAAAAAAAATATATAATATAAATAAAAGCATAAAAATCACCACAATATCTCATTAAATTTGTTGTGATTAATTTTTTCATATTGATCTTGAAATTTTTTTGTAATCGAATAAATGTGGTCCAATTGTTTAGGCATAGCATTGCTGATTGTCCTCAAATGAACGTTCATGACTAAATGGTTTTCTTGTGGTTTGCAAAACGTTTTTGTTTTTAATTTCTAACCATTATATGATATTTAAATATTTTATATTTTTTACATAAAAACTAACAATAAAATAATAACAATATGCTTACTGGAATGTAAGTATCGTGTTCTTTTATGATAAAAACTCCTTTTAATTTATTCTCGTTATCATGATATGTTTTTAACGACTGTTCGTATTTTTTTTGTAAGGCCAAGAAGTTATATTTCATGTTAAGCATCATTGTTAACTCTACAGGTTGGTCATAGCTCTTTACTTTTAAAACAAACATTTGGATACTTGATCCTTTTAATGTTCCTCGATCTGGATTTATTTTAGTAAATAAAATATTTTCTATGTAGCACCTAAATAAAGTGAGAGATTGAATAAAAAATCTACGATTTTCAGACTTAGATTTTAATTAGAAAGTTATTTATAAATAGACGACCTACTAAAACTATTTTTAATTTTACTACGGAGAAGACTTGTTAAATATTAAATTTAGTTTCACACTAGTATTTTAATAAAAAATCGTTCATAGAACTTTTAGAGAATGAATCTTTGGTAATGTCCCTTGGGAGACGTTTTAAACTTATATTCATACAGCTGTTATCCTTATTTTTACAGAAATCTTTGCAATGGTGATCCCATAAGGTATTACAAATGTCACGCATCATAAATTGCAAAACAGTAGTAAAAAATAAAATAAAATAGAAAACTTCAATAGAAAAAAGGTGTTGATCAAGCGAGACTAGATATTTAAACACTGATCAAGACTAAGTAACACATAGATTCTCCAAAAAGTGCTACACCAATGCACTTTAAAATTCAAATAAAAATACTCTTTTCAAACTAAAAATATATTCATTTTTGAGCTACATTGATTTGTAAGTATATAAAGTAATCCGCTAACTATGTCTCACGTAGTATCTTCAAAAGTATAAGGTAAAATATAATTTTTTCTTTTCAGGAGTTATGAATGTCCTAAACATTTAAATAAACAAAAAAAATAAATTATTTCTCCCTCCTTCTTTCTAACAATTGTATCATCTATATTTTTTAAATAGATATTTTCATATGAATGAAAAAATAATAATTTGAATAAGAAAATAATTGATCGATAGCAACTTTTAAATCATTATTTTTTATAATTTATTACCTAAATATCATATTATAATTTTAAAAATTATAAAAAGAAATTAAAATATATGAATCTAACAATATATAAAATTCAGCTTATGTTTGAAAGTCTAACGCATTAAAATTTATAGTATCATAAAAAATATTATTTTTTGAAGTTAAATATTTAAATTATTATCATTAATAAATATTTTAAGTCATAACATGGCATTATAAAAATTATATACTTAATAATTATTAATGGATAAATATATTTTTAATTACTCTCGCCATTCAAATTGAATATCATCATCAGTGTCATTGTAAAGACAAAACATAGCCTCTTGTTCAGATTGTGTTGGAAATGATCGGAGTATTAAACTTTCAGTTGACAAATATATTTCTCTGTTATTTTTTACTGGTAAAAACGATGACATTCCGTGACCACGTGGTATAATAGTTCTTGTGGATGATTCACCGTACCCAGATAGAACAATAAAACGCTTTTTACCGTTTACCAATAGTATTATGGTCGCCTATTTTTTCGATCAACACACTTTTATATGCATTAAAAAAAAAATGTAACATTTCAAGCATAGATTACTTTGAAGCTACTAAGTCGATCAGGCATAAAAACGAATAACAGTGGATGCATTGATTTAGGAGGTACAATTGCAAATGGATTTAAACAATGGAAGTGGGGAAATGCAGGTGATAATGAATCATCAATTATTGTGTATGATAGAGTATTTATTGAATCTTCGTTGTAAATCCAAAATGCCTATTGAACAATAATTTAAATATATTTTGAAAGGAATTTTATGTCCACTTGATAAAACCTGAGCTGGTGGGTTTGGATTTGCTATATATACAGGTTCGAAATGAAATTCCAAGTCTTTGGTATCAGTTCCGTATGGAAAGTCCAGAGATATCGGGTAGGCATTTTCTGTTCTTGACATTAGCAATACTTTGGCTTCTCTACAATGAGGTTTACAATAGCCATATGATAATTTATAGTTCAATCGAAATTGTTCGACGTTGTCATTTTTTAAATCAATTTTGATTGTGAAATAATTTCTAGACTATAATCAGTATTATTAAGTATAAAAATGCAAATTTCTATTTGTAAGCGTATGTTTTACTTCAACTTTTCCTGTCACTGGAGTTATCTGAATATTTTTGCGATGTAAACATTCTTCTACTGGTTGCTTCTTAGTATTAACTTTAAAATCACATCCAACACATTCTAGGTATTTGAATGACCAATTTAGACAGATTTTTGATGGGTTATAGAATTGCAATTCGTATGTGGTTGGTTCTGACAAACAAGGCAATGCAAGTATAAATGTTGGTTGGATATTAGTTTTTTTTATTTTAAGTTCATCGTTAATTCTAAATTTGATTATAAAGTGTTATTCAAATGAAGTGATAGGAAAATTTATTCTTATCACCTTTTATAATGAAATAGTTTATTTAGTGTCCATTTTCCAAAATATGGTTCTATATTATTAAATATTGCTGATAATGTTAATAAACAAGCTATTCCTTCTAAAGAAATATTTAAAGTGCTAATTACTCTAGGTGATATTTTACTATCTGTTAACACGTATACTAAAAGTTCTTGGTATCCTTCTTCCATTGGACGAATAGTAACTTCAATATCCTATACATTTTTTTTATACGAACTTATTAGTAAATTATTCATAGTTTAACTTTATTTTATGCATACAAATATATTATTATCAGGAGTAAATTGAAACGAATGAGGAGTTACATTAAAAATAGGTTCTGGCCAAAATTGTTTAGAATTTTTTGGTTGTTTTGCTTCTATTTTCACATTAATGTACATGGAACACTTTTGTTTAATAGTAAATTTTGTTTTTCGCTGAGTGTTCAACATTATGTCACCTAAATAATAATTTTCTAGTGGAAATATCTGAAATATTATTAATTACCTTCAATAATGAATTTATGACAGATCAAAAATTTGAATAAGTTTTTCTTTCTATTTAGAATATAAGGGGTAAAATTGACAAAATTATGTTTAGATAACACTTTCCATAACTTGAGCTTCATTTCCTCTTCCTATGAATGTAACTTGAGCTGTAGTAATTGTGTCGGGAAATTCGTTACATATAACGTAACATTTAGCGATCATAGTGTACTTCTTACATTCAAGTGGACAAAATCTTAGTCTAAAAAATCCAATTTCATTAGGACCAAGTTTGCCTTCATTTTTTTCCAGATGATAAACAGTCGAAAAATAGCTATCAAATAATATTTATTCTTTTTTTATTAAATCTTCCAATTTTATTATTGGTTTTAAATAAATACCTATCCATTGAAGATATATTATTTATTCTTTCAGACTGTTTTAATTCATTCAATTGATCATTAATAGACATTGTTTTTGAAGTATTAGAACAGTTGTCATTCGATTCACAATCATACTCAATGTCTTTTAATGTTTCTACGTTTTCAAAAGATTCATTCATTAACGATAAGAAGTCATAATCAATACTAGTAGGTTCATTATTATTTAATGGTTGTATTGAATAATGCAGTTTATGTCTTGTGTTGTTCGTTATTGGTACTGATAAATTTATTTCGCAGCCCACTTCGACTGATGTTATTGTAACAATATTTTTTTCGCCTACTGTAACACTAGCAAATTCTGAAGTACCATAGACATCAAAATTTATCTTTAAAATAAATTTGAATAATATTAACATTTAAGAACTATAATAAATAATAGAATTTATGATTTAAGAACCATAATATGGTTTTCGAATAGGTATATAAGTAGGTTATATTATTTGTTATTAAATATTTTTAACTATAGGATTTAATTGTATTTATTTCCTGAATATAAATTTAAATACATTTAGAATATAACATACTGAATTTTTTTTGAAACCATTAAATATTATAGTCCACCGTTCCACATACAATGATTCTTTGTTGGAGTTGGTAGATAATTGTAAAATAATAACTTGATAATCATTTGAAATCAATCCCGAGGAAGGTTTTGCGCATATAACCCTTTAATTATGAAGAAAGTTATGTAAAATTATATTTTCAATTACGTTTTACTTACGACCCATAAGGTGGTATGAGTTCAAACAAAATTGACGGAGGACCAATTTTCTTTATTATAAGAGTAGTATATACGGTGTCTGTGTTTGGTACACTTGGTGGCATCATTAAAATATAAGAATCAAGTTTGTAGTTAGGTGTCCACCCACAGGTATTTTTATCGAACGAATGTCCTTTATGATTTTAAATTTACCGAGAAAGTTTTATAAAGTAGACAAGTTTAATTTCAGTCTTGTATTACTTGCCTATAGCAGTCACAGAAATATTCATTGGGACTACATTGATGGGTATCTGTTCATCGTCAAAACGATTTAGCTCTATGTCATAAATTAATGGTTTCATTGGACCAAAGTGAATGATAGCTTCAAGTTGAGCCCAATATAAGTTCCATTTGATTTTTGGTTGAAACTTACATTCAAAATTTATTGTTTGTCCACTATCTACTGGTGATTTTTCAGGAACCACACTGAATGGACAATTAGGTTCTGTAGAAAATAGAGAAGAATGAAGTCAATAGAAATAATCATTTGAAAGTTTCGTATTTACCTCGAATCCAATTTAAATAAAGCGATATACAAGATTTATTTTGTACAGTAAAGGTGACACTTGAGTATCCTTTAGAATCGGAGTAACCTAAATTTAGGTTATTAGGGGTTACAATAATTGGTGAGTTGAAACTTGATCGACTCACTGAGTCTCTCATAAATTCTTTGTAATTTTTTTGACTAGTACTTGGATTATTGAATGGCCATTTAAAATAGTTGAAGGGATTTTTAGTTAGAGACACGCTAGAAAATGCGTATACGTCTACGTAGATTGGTTGCTAAAATATATCATTTTATCGAGTAACTGCTTGAATTCATTTTTAGCCTAATATTAAATCTTACGTGATATGCTATCAAAAAAAATAGCCTCTTGTAATAATATCCGGTTTGGTATGGTTTAAATTCGAGCCGTATTTGCAGCAAATTCTTGATAGTACCTGATGAAGGCTGACATTTAATTGGTGAGTTATTTTCATCTATGTGTACATGAAATAAGGCAGGCACTTCCGATTTGTTATGTAAGTTGACGACTTTGGTATTTTCATTTCCAGGTAAACAAATATAAACGCAAGATGGATTTATTTTAACGGAAGGACCTAATTTAGACATCTATTATTACGATAGATTTACAAATTTGTTTTTATTACCGTATAAATTTTAAAGTATTTGTATTTTGTTAAAGAAAATATTTGAATTGTTCACATTAAAATCTTAAATATTACTTTATCTACTTTATATACTTTAATGTAATTTTTAGTTATTGTTAGAAGGGTACACAACGTTGAAAAATTTTTATCGTGTGTTATGATAAAAATATAGCGTTGTTAATCACCTCCGCAAATCTTTGAATGTTAATATCTCAAAAAGTAATATTGTAAAACTAGTTATTGAACAGTCAAAATTTTATTTAGATCATTTTTCATTTCATATTAAAAGATAATAATAGGTTCTCATTTAACTTTCGAAAGTTACTCTTAAAATCTACCCTTAGAAATAATTTTTCTCAGAATAAGCTTGATATTTACAATTATTTATAAAAATAAATCCAATTTATATTAAAAAATTTTTATGAAAAAATTATTATTAAACAAAAAATTTGGGGTATCATACTTAAAAAAAACCACATTGTATAATCAATGTGTTTACCATTACAGAATCCTCGGATGCGCAGTAAAAGCACCTGTGAAGTTTTGTCACTCTTTGTTCGATCATTTAATACATTTAAATTAACAGGATTTTTAATTTTTTCTTCGTCTGAATATAATGTAAAATATTCCAGAGTTTCAACAAAGGGCAATTTTGGGGAGAAAATTATTTCAAATTTTACTGATTTCTTAGGCCCCACCTTTTCTGATTTCGAAGGGGAAAATGTAATAGGATCACCTAGATACATTATTCCATTTTTACTTTCCACGTTAAACATTGTGTACTTCTAAAAAAAATAAACAACTAGAAATAATGTGGCAAATAAAAATATTTGTTAAACTAGCTTTTAAGTTATTCGTTATATTAATTGTTTTCCTATGCACAGAACCAACAGAAACATTTCCAAAATTGATTTCTTGAGTTTTATAGTCCGTATTTGAATCATTTTTACAATACGTTGGCCACATATTGAAGGTGAAAATTATAATATAAGTTATCGGAAATTGAAAATATTTTTTTATATTATTTTAAATAATTTAAGACATAGTGTTGAATTGTGTTGTACTATAGCATGTTAATGTGTTTTGTTGTTATTGATACAGAAATAGTTATTTTATATTATTTTTAACAATTATCCATTATTAAATGCCTTGAAAATTTTTGATATCTTATAAATATATTAATGTATAAGGTTACTCAAAATACTGATTTTAGGTGGTTACGCCACTATTAATATTATATCATGTGTATTACATACACATATTGCTTCATAATTTTAATATTTATATAAATTATAAACAATTACTTGTATAATTTATAAATGTAAAAAAATTAATTGCTGAATTTTAAATAATGTGTTCTCCTATAATTATTTTCACTTTTAAGAATCTCTTGAACTAATATTTATTTAAAATGTTTTTTAGGCGGCACACACAATGGTTATAATTGATTTTAACCACTCGGTAGTTATAAACAAATCAGTATATATTATTTCCCCTTCAAATAATCAAATAGTCAATAGAGTGGCATAAATATTGATTTGAATGGCCAAACTGTGAATTCAAACCATGTTGTTTGTTAAAAATAAATATAGTTTTCCAATAAATATTTTAATCTAACATATTATTTTATGAGGAATTCAATAAAAAATTTGTTTACCTAGATGTTAGTCCAAAGAGTTAAAGCGGCCCCAAGTGTAGTAAATAATTTTGATATTTTAAATTGATTATATCGACGTATCATATTATAAATATATTAATTAAAATGATATTAGTGATTTTTGGATAAATACTCATCATACTATTTTTAATAGTATGACTTATACTCAAGGGTATATTACGTGTATAAAAATTATAATTTATTTTTAAAAAGAATAGTTTTAGACTAGCATTTTTTACAATAGAACTATTAAAACGTTTGATTACAAAATATTACAGGAGAAGATTAAGGTTTTATGAAAAATGTTGTTTTATTACTTAAAACATAACGTTGAATTCTATTGTTATTATTAATTAATTTATTTGTAAATTATTTAAATTTTTTTAATCAAATTTTTCATTTATATTTCGGTATTTAAAAATTTTTGGCGTGGAAAAATATTTATAACTAATACTTTTCAATAATTTTTTTTCTGATAGCCTTTCTAGTTTTTTGATAATAAAAATTGCTGATATAAAATAATAAGAAAAAGGGTTTTTAAAAATATATATATATACATTGTCTATTATCACAAACGAAGATAAAATGGACAGAACACAATCAAGTCGACAGGAATGAGTGCGATGCGGTTTTGTTATAAAAATTCAATAGGAGAAATATTTGGTAAGCATTAAGCTCTAGTTATGAACATTTTTTCAGAATACAAAATCATAAAAACTGAAGAATTAAGAAAATACATGTAAAATAATATGTAGTGTCATATTTTTCAAGTTAAACAAATTAAATAATAAAAATTGATCACTTGTGGCTAGTTAATTAAGTAAAATTAAAACTATATTAAAAATATTATTAATTTAAAAAAACTAAAAAATATTAAAAATATTAAACTCAAAAGCCACAAAAAAATTAATGAAAAGTCGCGGATACGTATTTCGGAAACAATGTTACCATTATCAACGCTAAACACATACTGACACCCCGACTAGAAAAAACTCCCTTATATACCCCTAGTGACCTTATNAAAAAAAAAAAAAAAACTAATATGAAATCTAGAAGGTAAATCCTAACTTTTAGGTATTTTACCTTCAATTTGTTTTTAATACCTCATATTCCTATAAATACTTTTTTTAAAAATTAATTACAATATTGTTGTCAAACTTAACAGAATTAGTCTAGCGATATTCTTGAAATATTATAGTTTTAAACTCAAAATAAAAAAAAAATATTTTAATAGGATTATGAAATACCTTAACTTTACCCGAGTAATAAGTTATATAATTTAGTAAATAGTATTTGTGGAATATTATCTAGTAAGGTTGAGATATTAAATTATAACTCATTAATTATTTTTTAACCTTTATTATGATTTTTAATAAAATATAAATATTAAATCGTACAAATAAGTTGTAAGTTTTAAACAAAAATTATGTATAAGTAAACATTCACTTCAATTAAAAATGTACAAAAATTTAAACAAAAACCGTATTAAACATACAGTATTAGTTTCTTTTCTTAGCAAACTAAACTTTTGACACTGAAGGGAGCATATCTATTATGAACATCGATAGCTCTTAATGCGAACCAATATTTGTATCCCTTTTCACATTCTTTCAAGTTCAACATCATAGGTGATGTTTTAGCATCGCATATTCCTACTCTATGCCACATAAATTCGTTAGGAGGTTGTTCAGTTTCTTTACACGAAAAGAGTTCGTAGAACTTAACTTGGGCCGTATGTTGTTTTAATCTCATAGTCCATTTTATTTTGACACAATTTTCCACTGGAGTTATGTCCATAACTGGACTTGAGGGAACAGCCTTCCACGTTGGTTGATTATTGTAAGATGGAACTTTAGGTAAAGGTGGAGGATAAGAATATCTTATTTTTTTTTCATTTGGTGTATATGTTGTGTTAATTTGGGTATTACTGTAAACATTTTTATCACTTGTAACTAAATTTCCGACTCTCTTGGCTGATTTTATTAAAGTAGGAATATGTTTTTTTTTCTTTGTCTCTGTTTTTTCCATATCAAAAGAACAATTTTGCATTCGAACACTTCCAGAATTCGGTGGAACAGTTTTATTCATTATAGGATTATTAGACCTAGAAGTCGATTGTGATGACAAATCGTGCTCTTTTTCACCATCAGAGATATTTACTATATTTTTTACAGAAAAAGATCTACAAAATCAATAAAAAATTTTGTTCAATACATTAGTTGAAATATAGTTATTAAATATGATGTAATAACTAACTTATTTGGATTAATATTTTTTTGATGAGTGCCGTTGGATTTTAGTTTATCTGTATTTATTCCTGATTCTGATTCTTTGTTTTTTATAGGCCCTCTTTTGTCGACTGCATTAACGTATTTAGTAACGACTTTGTTGCCATAATTTTTAGGAGGGTTAGATATCCGATTCTGAGTTCGATATATTTTCAACAAAGCCTTATAGTGAACTGAAGACATCAAAATGATTTTGTTGTTTAGTATAATTCTCATCAAGTTTTTACGAGGTTCGTAAGACTTTGATTTACTCTTTTTAGAGTCTTTATCAAAATACAAGCGAAACATATTAATTTTTTTGTTACTAACGATAACTGAAAAACTGTTATTCTATTTAAGCAATAGTCTTCGATTAATACTAAAATTAAATTGTATAAAAAATAAGGATTTATATAACAAAATTTTTCGCTGGAAATAATTTGATGATATATTGTTGTCTTGGTAAATTTATTTTAGCCAGTATTAAACTTAAAAGGTATTAAATTTAATATTTCTGTGTATTAAATATCTTATTTATTTTAAACATACTGTAAATTAACACAAACAACATTGGTGAAACGTTAAAAACATATTCAAAGTTATTTATATTGAAGAAATTACATGTCGTGCAGTTTTGAACTGCGTACACTATTTTCCAGATTACTTTAATCATTTTACTATCATATTTTAAGAAAATTGATATTTAATCATAATACTAACCTTAGAAGTATCTTGAATTTTTCACAATAATTGTGAAAAATTATTGTTTATTTACAATTTTCTTAAAAAATTGAAATTCATTATTTTGATTCTATCAATACTCAATATATAATATGTTGGTAAAAACCTATGGTAAAGTCACATACCATAGGTATATTATAATATATACATGGTATATATTATATATAAAGAAGTAAAAGGTTAATTTTATTTTCTAAAGTTATAATTTTTACAAATACTAACTATAATATACTAAAAATAGTCCCTTTCTTCTCGACTGTTATAAATACTTAAGAAATCTTTTACAATAATTTTTATTTTATTTTTTCTATGAAATTGATAAAATAAATTTCGGATTTAAAACATGCAATTTAATATTAATCAAAATTTTGGTAAATCTAAACCACTCAATAATCATAATTTTGTTGATAAGCAAGCTTTCAAAATGTGCAATTACAATTTTTACATTATAATACTACTAATAATGAGGTTTTCAATTAAATACTTTCGCTTTTGATTATTCTAACAGAGTTACTGTACTTAAATTTTACAATCGATCTAAAGTAAATGAATTAATGATGGAAAACTATTTTGAGTAAATGCTTTGCCCTTTTAGAATACATTTTCAATAATCTTTACAACAAAAGGTACAAATACCGAAGTTTCTCAATATTTAAGTGGCGCACATTTTTTATTATTATTAAAGTATCAGCGTTAAAACAAAATTTCTTGTTTACATTTATATATCACGATTAATCGTTAACAGAGTAGTAAGCTATTAAACTATAATTTCTATCATGCCATTTAGAGTTCTGTACTTCATCTATCATTCATTTATTGTTCGTTATGTTATTGTCAAACTTTGGACAAGTTAATATGCGGATAAGGTATTAGGGCTGTCTCCATTTATTATTGGCATTTTAGGAGAGAAATAGAGTGATAAACACGAAGAGATAGCTTACCATTTTCCGTTTACGTTTGTACTTTTAGAAAAGCCATCGCAACCGACACGACTATAAAGACAGATTCTTTAGAGAACAAATGTCTGAGTATTCTCGATCGGTTTTCATTATGTGGATTGGGAAGAAGTTGGTTAAAACTTTCAATCGTTCGAACTTTTTACTTTAATAATGATTTGGCTTTGCCAATGAAATTACATTATTGAAGTTTTCAAAAGTCGAGAGAAAGCTGTGAAGAAATGGACATGCTGATTAATCGTTTTTAATACTCATTTTAACAAAAAAAAAAAATCTATATATTATTAAGGTAAAGTTATAATTACGACGATGTCATGTAATTAAAAAATTATAATCAGTTCCTCATTTATTTTAAATTATAATAAATTTCTGTTGCTTAAATGGAGTAAAAGCTTTTCTTTTTGTGTTTATTTATTATAATTCTTATTATTTATCTATTATTTTTTTAACTCTTTTTATTGTAACAATAGGCCTGACATATAATACTTGGAAATGTGTTAATGTAGAATGATTTTTAAGGAATTTTTAAACAATATAGTATGTCCAATAGTTAGTCACCTCTGTAAAAACGTATTGTGCGATTGTTGACGTATTAAGTAATTATATTTAAGGCTTAATTTTTTCTCTTTTAATTCACTTATAAAATTGTTAAATTTAAAATTAATTCAATTTTTTTAATTTTTTAAATTAACAGAATTATTACATAGTTTTAAGAAAAATCATTACATATTATATTTAAATATTATATGGGTGTTCAGTAAGGAAACGGCTTTCTTTTGTTCTCATTATTTATAATAATTGATTTGTTTCTTTACTTACTAAACACTTTGGTATAATTTTTAGATTTAATAGTTTTAATATAAACAGTGTCTCTTATTCTGTTTTTATAAATCTATAAAAAAAAACATATCATGGTAAAATTAGCACCTTCTCAGTTTCGTATTGAATCTAAAACAGCAGAGTGGGGACGCGGCATATTTAGGACAACTACATAAAATACCTGGGGGTCAATTTTAACGATGAAATAGTTTTTGACAGGAAAATTTTTCTTTCTCAATTAGAAAAGGATTTTAGAAATCTAGTAACTTCTCCACTATTGCGTGGAGACCAGAAAATCAACATACTAAACCAATATGTTTACCCAAAGCTGATATATCCTATGCAAACCACCCCCATCGACCTTCTTGATAAAAATTTTCTCGAAAGTGTGGATATGCTGGTAAGGCAAGGAACCAGAGAGATATGTGGCCTTCCCGCTGACACTCCAATCCCGGTATATTATACAGGAAGGAAATATCGGGGCCTCGGTATGTTAAGAGTGACGTGGGAGGCTTCTATACAACATATCGCCATCGCCCAAAAGCTAGCGCTCATCCATGATCCACACCTACTAGCAGTTCGTGATTTATGCCAGGAAGAAACACAGTCTCGCGCACGCTTGGGTCCCGTAACCGGCCTAAACCCGCGTGCGATTCGCACTGAGCTAAGGTGCAATGAATTCAAAAAATGGAAGGAGCTAAGACAGAGAGGAATAGGTGTACTATGGTATGGCAGCTGTACTAAAACTAACGCTTGGTTATCAAAAAAAGGCGGGCTCTCAAGCGGTGAGTGGACGAACGCCATCAAAGCGTCAATGAACTCGATGTCTAACCGAGGAACAGGAGGTAGGAGTGTCGGCAATCCCCATTGTAGGAATCTAGCCTGCAATGAGAATAACATAATTGAAACCTTGCCCCACATCCGAGGATCCTGCCCCAAGACTGAACTTCTTCGCAACAATGCCCATCACAAAATTCGTACCACCTTGGCCAATTTATTTAGAGCGAAAAACTTCGAAGTACACGAAGAAGTGTGCTGTGTAGCACACAATGAAGGGGCAAATCAAAACAGAAGAGCAGACATTATAGTGGTAGACAGAAGAAATGGACGAGGCCTCATCTTAGACCCCACGATTCGTTGGGAAACTAACGACGAACAACAAGACGTCAAAGTGCACGAAGAGAAAAGAGGTATATATTTGCCGTGCACACCCAGCCTAAGCCACCTCTACGGAGTAAGAGAGTGGGAAGTATATGGACTCTGGTTTGGCGCACGCGGGACTGCATCGAAACTCTTAGAAGACTTCTTTAAGAACCACGGCCTTCAGCAAAGTGACCTCGNTAATTCACTTATAAAATTGTTAAATTTAAAATTAATTCAATTTTTTTAATTTTTTAAATTAACAGAATTATTACATAGTTTTAAGAAAAATCATTACATATTATATTTAAATATTATATGGGTGTTCAGTAAGGAAACGGCTTTCTTTTGTTCTCATTATTTATAATAATTGATTTGTTTCTTTACTTACTAAACACTTTGGTATAATTTTTAGATTTAATAGTTTTAATATAAACAGTGTCTCTTATTCTGTTTTTATAAATCTATAAAAAAAAACATATCATGGTAAAATTAGCACCTTCTCAGTTTCGTATTGAATCTAAAACAGCAGAGTGGGGACGCGGCATATTTAGGACAACTACCGATGATATCTGACAGTGATTAAAATTACTATCATGAAAAACGCTTAGATGCAAATTTTTGATAATGTTTAATTTTAAGAATGTTGGATTATTCAAAAAGTAAATCAACTCGTATATCTTAATTATATGCTGATTACCAGTTATATGATAAATATGTATAATATATGAATAAATACATTTTATAGAAATTAATTTAGTATGAAATTGATATTCAATATTTTCTATTTAATTTGTATAGGAAATTATATAAAAATATAAATTAGTTGTACATTTCCTTACCTCTATTTCAAATGTATATCAAACATGTAAATATGAATTTATTATAAAAATTGAGATAGTTAACTTTTTAAATCGGTTATTCTGACTTTCATTAGTTCTTTATTATTTAAGTGATGGAATTGGAATTGTAAATTATAGTACATCATTGGAAACTAGAACATTTTCTTTAGATAGAGTGTCTTTTATGACACTTATTGAATTGACATTAAAGATGTTAACATTAACATCTGATTCGGATCTGAAGATCGGAGATATTTTGGGAGATTGTGTCAAGTGGAAGTTAAGGATAAAGGTGTCCTACCTCAAGTAGTTGAGATTAAAACGAGGAAAAAAAAAGAAAGAATGAATTAACATTAAAAGCTGATTAGAAAATTTATGTAACTAACACTCAAATCTTTTTTTTTGGAAGAAGAGTTAAATGCAGTACTTTGTCGCTTGATTATAAATATAAACATAAAATATAAAACATAAATATAAAAAAAAATTATAATTTAATCACGAAAAACAGGGTTTTTTTACACCAAAATTATATTCTTTTTTCTTCAGAGGCCATTCAAATATACAAGATAAGGTGTCAGGACTAATTTTTCTTTATACCTCATAGAATTTAACATAAGATTTAATTTACTTGTTTGAGGAATATTTCTGGAACATTTTCAAAAGTTTAGCTGTATAAGTTTTACTTTTTATATGAACTTTTAAGATTTTAACCCTTTCTATATTAGGGAAAAGGGTCTGATTTAACAAAAATTTTGAACATTTTTAAAAGTTAACTTTTTATACAAAAATTGGTATTTTGAATCCTACTACAGAAAAATTAAAGGATTGGATTTCTAATAAAAATATACCAAAAGAAAGAAAATTACTTGAGCTATTTTTAAAAGAAAATTCATTTTATTTTTTATAGTATAAAAGGACACTAAAATAGTATTTTAGTCTTAGTTAAACAAAAACTTACCACTAAGTCTGAGTTCTGCAAAAGATTGTGCCATTTCATTATTAAGCTTATTTGTTACCACACATTGATACATGCCTTGATCGTCCTTTTGTACAGAATCTATATTTAAAGTGTAGGTTGGTGGAGATAACGTGCTTGACTGTCTTGGTTCCCCATTTTTAAGCCATGTAATGATTTGCTATAACAAGAGCATTTTTATGAGTATCACATAGATAAATTATCATTAGTAATTTCACTTCAAGATACTTATATTTATATTAACAAATAATGAGTTATGAACATATTAGAAAATATGTATGAGGGCAAATTACCTACGTAAGATTCGGCGAATAAGTAAAAATTTCATATAAAATAATATTTCATTTTTACTTTGTTGAATTGGGATGGAATATTTTGTTTGCTAAACTGAAATTTTTGGAATAGGTTATATTTATACTTGACATTGTTTACCATAGATTTTAATTGTATAATCAAGTGTAGTTATTGTTTTAATATCTTATTACAGCTCACCAAATACTATGTGTATTATAGTAGAATGATCTGTATCACGTTTAATTTATTAAGAAGTGAAAACCTATTCAAACTTAATACGGTAAACTTTTCCGAATGTCATTATTTCTAATAATGAGAAGTAACTTATCAAAGTTTTTTCTTTAGCGAATTATTTGAGTTGTTGAATAGTTGAAGTCCATAATACTTCGTCTAGATTTTATTGTTATCTCAAACAAAATACAGTTATTAAGTCAGTTATATGATATAAATATTATCAAGAAATGGTTTACAAATGATTTACTCATCATATGAATTATTTTAAAGCTTATCTAAAATCAAGTCAAAGAGATACTTTGGAATATTATATTTTATGTTAATAAAAATTCATAAAACAGGGAAAAACAAACGAATATTTTTCTATCGGCAAATAATTTAGTCATTTTAACACTCGCCAAAAATGCATAAAACTTTAGTTTATTATTACATAAAATATTGAAATTAAAACTATCAACTTTAATTAATAGAGTCATTGAATTTAGATTATTGCTAAAAATATTGGGATGAAGAGAGAGAACATAAAAGTTCTTTGAGTAAATGTATTTTGAGTTTAACTTACAAAATCGGTCGTATAGATTATTATAAAATACCTATGAATAATGTTTAATATATGTTAACAATTAACCTTATGAGAAGTAATAAGTTCACGTTTTTTAAAAATAAAATCCATGAAACGATATTTAAAGTTAAATTAATATTTACTTAAAGATTGTATCGTTGTATATTGTTTGAAAGGCCTAAAGTATTTTTTTTTAATAAAAAAAATATATAAATTTTAAGAATGGCTATAAATTAATAAAGTATTGTTTATTTAATTTATTTTTTGATTTAAATTTTAAACCAACTTAGGTGTGTATGAGTATGGTAAAATTAATAAGTATTTTATTATTGAAAGAAATTTTGATTAAAAATTCGTATTAACATTAACCTATTGTTTTTATTGGATTCAATTTGATAATTTTTTTTAGATTTTTACATTACTTTTAAAAATACATGTGATTTATTTATCATAAATTATTTAATATAAAATGATTTAATTATAGAACGACAGTTCGATATTGATTTTCGTCAATATAATAAATTTTATTAAATCAAAATAAACAAAATAAAATAAAATTATAAATATTTGAAAATTTAAGTAATATTAAAAAAAAATTGTTACTTTTTTGTTTAATAAATTGTTTTGTTTTACTTTAAGATAGTTTAAATTGCACAATAACCACAATATAAGCTAGAAGTAGTTGTTTAGAAATTTAAGGTGGTAGGAGGGATGTTACATACATTTTTACAAAAACTAAACCCGAAAAGACATAAAAGTTATTTTATTTTACTTGTCCAATAACATTTTATATAGAAAATAAATAAAAATTTTCAAAATGGTTATCTTGTGAGAAGTGTAACCAAAATCTTATTTCCAAAATATGCGCTGGTACTGTCAGTTAACAAATGACGATTGACGTTCTCGAGTTGTTGTATTTGATCACGGAAATTTAAGCTGATACTTAAAGTATTAATATTTCTTCTATATAGAAATGCGTGTTTCTGTGGAATAATATAAGTAATGGAAAAGTTTTAAACTTTTGAAAAATGTAATTTTAATAAAAATGATTTCAAAATTGATTGCATGATTTCATGATGATTTAAATGTTTTTAAATTCTGTATTCATCTGTTTAATTGTCTTTCAATAGCTGTGCAGCTCAATTCAATATTAAATCAGATTATACAATAGATTTAATTCAAATATTTACCATATCCTTGCATTGAATTTGTCTGATATATGTTACTATAAAAAGTTTGTGTAGCTTGGAAACAGTTGTAAAATAATAGTAATAATATTAATAATAATAACACTTATTAGAATATTTAGCTTATTATTTCCTATTTTGTTGATAAATTTTTCTCGTAGGAGATAATTTAGAATTTAAATTTTGCTATTAAAATTAGCTTAAAATAAAGTATGATTCATACTTCTCTACGATTTAAAAGTAAATGTTATTTATTGCATGTGTTATGTATATTCGTTCCGGCTTGGTTTACATTTTAGTTGCAATAAAATAAATTACAATTAGGATTATGTAAATGCAAAGCGCTTGTCGTCATACTTTTGCTTAATAAATCTCGTTAAATCGATATTGTTAACGTTTTATGACTTACCATATATAAATAATGTGTTATGTTTTTAGTAGGTATTTTTTTTGTATTTACTTAAAAAATATCCGTGTACTTCTTAGTTGAATGTTTCACATATTTTCATTACTTATCATGATAAATTTTTCAAAAATATTTATTAGATATACTCACATTATCGTCAGAAGAAGATGTGATACAAGTAAACGTAGCGGATCTTCCGGCTTCAATTTCAGCTAAGGCTGGTATGACTTGAGCACTCATATCCGGAGCAACGATCACTCGATGGTGAAGGGTAAGGTGACCGACACTGTTTGTTGCTGTGCAAGAATAGTTACCTGCATCCGTTCGTTGCGCAGACCGCAGCCTTAAAAAGTTCATTGGAGCTTTATTTCTTCCACTTGATTCAGAAACTATTAATGTTGATGTGCTTGAAGACCACCTGAAAAACGATTTAATTTTTATTAATATTTAGTTTATTTTATTGAATTGTTAGCTAATACGTTAAAATGCGGATAGTATTTTTACTATAAAATGTCTGTTCATTGAACTTATTAAACTAATAGTGAGATTACTACAATGTATTGTAATTATTTGTTGTACAGTTTTATATAAAAATACATAAATATTTAATGAGTTAATTGAATAATTAATTTGAGTTAAAATAATATTACAATATATTTTAAACTTTTATATTTCGAGCTCAAATAAATGTTATATTTTATTTGTCCAACACCAAAAAAATTATATTAATGTCCATATTATTTTATGAACTTACATTAATCACTATTTGTACCCACCAATTTTTTTCCTTATTTTTTAAAAGTCATTTGGGTAAGATTTCGTTTTAATTACTTACGCCTTCAAGTGCCAAACCAAGATTGAAAATTCACTTAAAAGGGTAGTTTTTCAGTTTTTGAATATTATTTCTAAAACTAACATACATAGTGTAAAAATGTATAAAATAGAAATTATAGATTTTAAATACTTTATTAAAAAACCCAGCACAGGGGGGTCGCGGCACAGTGGTGACGTGGCATAGTTGGATCAAGTATAATTATATCTGACAGTGATTAAAATCACTAAAAAAAAAAAACGCTTCGATGCAAATCTTTAGATAGTGTTTAATTTTAAAAAATTAGTGGATTATTCCAAAAGCTTCATAAACTGCTAGTTCCTTATTAATATCCTGATTAAGATAAAGTATGTCGAATGAAAAAAGGAATATTAAAAAATAGTATTTCCCATAAAAAAATTATATTCATCAATACACTTTTCAATAAGTTATACCATTATAAAGTTAAAAATGTAAAAAATAAAATTGAGAATTTTCACACAAAAAAGTATTCGGTAGTCATTTTCACCGTGAAGACAAAATAAAGTCCGAAATTTTTTTTTACCATTATAAAATATATTACATTNTTTTTTTTTTCATCATAAAGTATATTACATTAGCTTTAATTTAAGATATATATAAAAGTGTCAGACCTTCCGGTACACTTTCAAAAGTTAAGTTGAAAAAATTAATTTTTTTTTAAAAAGTTGTCATTTTAAATCCCCCCCTGTGGTCAGGTAAAAAGTCAGATTTATAAAAAAAATATACCAAATGATAGGTAATGACATAATGCGTCTATAAAAAAATTAATTATATTGATATGTTCATTTTTAAAAATGTTACGGTAGTTTTTAGTAAAAAAAATTGAAAAAATTTCGAAAATTAGCGATTTTTAAATTTGTAATTTTTTTGGAGGTTTCCCCCATTTACGGAGAACGAGGGAAATATTTTCAATTTTTAAGGGTAATGTCTTCGACTAGATACGATTTGTGATCTTTTGACGTATCGTTGAAAGAAATCGGTTCGGTGAGAGCTGAGAAAAAGTGGTAACAGACACAAAAAAAAAAACACATCTTAGTAAAACCAATACCTCCTCAGCTTCGCATCGAAGCTAAAAGGTTTTAAAAAAAATAACAAGTTAGCTGTTTGCTTGGGAAAGAATATAAATTAGCCGAAAAAAAAAGAAGGAAAATTAATACGAGAAGACGAAGAATTAAAAAAAAAAAATGACAATAGTTTACAGAACACTGTAAAGCTGGTATAAAAAATTATTTATCATAAATTTATTTTAAAAATGGATAATGAAATGTAGAAATGATAAAAGTTCATTTTATTTTTTTATAGTGAATACACCTTTTGAATACAGCATAGAAGATGAGCCACCGTCATAGCATATGCCTTTTATAGAACATTCATTTTATAACTATTCTTACAGCTTCTGATTCTTCTCACCTCATAACATGACCAAACCATCTAAGTCTATTTTCTCTCAACATATGCACGATTGACGCCACACCTATAGTCCCTTTTATATGTTCGTTCCTTATCCTATCTTCTCTAGTCACTCCACTCATCCAACTAAGTATTCTCATCTCTGCTACACTCATTTTTTGCTCTACTTTCTTATCGACCGCCCTACAAAAGTATTGAAGAATTTACCTTTCAGTCTCATTGGAATTCTTTTATTGCATAAGACGCCAGATGCATCATTCCACTTCAACCACCCGTACTTAATCATGTGTCTTACATCCTCGTCAATACCACCATTCTTTTGCACAACTGACCCTAAATACTTAAAACTTTCCATCTCTCCTATCACGTCTTCGCCTATTGTCACTAATCTCATCATTTCACCTATCTCGTGTTTTCCCTTTTCAAACTTGTACTCTATATACTTTGCCTTACTTCTACTTATTCTTAAACCCTTTTTTTACGATATGCTATGTCACGAATTGAATTAGAACCGAGAGCACTACTAAAACCTAATTATATGATACCCTGAAATACTTCAGTTGCTAATAGTTTACATTTATTTTTATATTTATTTTCAAATAAACTACATCCGTAGATTTCGATAGTAAAAAATTATTAATTAAATTGCTATCTGTTCAATCTACTGAATCAAAAAAGAAAGAAAAATATAAACATATAACATATATTTGATTAATATCCTCCCTATTTTCTACTATTAACACTATACAGGGTGTTCAGTAAGTCAGAAAACGGGTTTCTATTGTTCTCATTGTTACAAACAATGAGAACAATAGAAATCCGTTTCCTGACTTACTGAACACCCTGTATAGTCAGCAAATAACATGAACCACAGCACCTCTCCTTATATTTTTCTAGTAATTTCATCCATTACTATAGAAAATAAATAAGGGCTTAAAGCTGAACCCTGATACACTTCTACTCTTACCCGAAAACTTTCTGTTACTCATCCTACGCTTTTTACCCTAGTATAAGTGCCATCATACATATTCTCTATTATATCAATGTACCTTTTCGGGACTCCTTTTCTCATTAATGCCCACTTTAGAACCTCTCTCGGTACTCTATCATACGCTTTCTCCAAATCTATAAATACCATACACAGATTTTTCTTCTTTTCCCAAAGCTTTTCTATTAGTTTCCTCATACAAAATACTGGTTCCATTGTTGACTTACCAGGCATAAATCCAAAATGATTTTAGATACCGATGTCTCCCATACCTCTTTCTCACTAGTTAAATCTACCAGTCCCTCATTTTACGAGAAATCTTTTAGTGTCTCTTTTAGGTACTCCTCATTCAGTAATTTTTCAAAATGCTCTTTCCACCTTTTTTCACATCTTCATCATTTGAGAGTACCTCATTATCAATACTTTTTGTATACCTTATATAATGATAATGTTTAGACCTTTTCTCTCTTACTTTTGCAAGTCCATGGATTTCTTTCTCGCCTTCCTTTGTTCCTAGCCTATATTGTTCCTATAACTTTACAATCTTTACTCGCTTTACGCTCTCTCTCTTTCACATAAAATAATCAAACTGTGATATATTCCTCCTACTCTTATAAGTTATGTAATGTTCTTCTCTCTTATTAAAATAAGTATTAATCACAGCAAGATCATATGATACTGCGAAATCTAAGATTCTTTCTCCAGCCTTATTCTTTCCACTAAAACCATACCCTCCATGTACTCTTTCATATTCTCTCCTCTCAAAAAAATAATGTAACAAAAAATTAATCTCTACGAGAAAAATTTAATAATGCATTAAGTTTTAGCATTTTGTAAAATTGCAAAAATCTTTAAAATGATAAAGCAGAAATTTCATCTATTTTTTGTGTATTTCAAATTTTTTTTTTAGCGGATTGAAGTAATTTAATGGTAAAAATAATTTGTTTTTTTAATTCAATAAGAAACTTTCTACGTATCACCTTGCGAGTTTAGTATTAACTTTATAAGAAAGAAGTCACTTTATGTATAAACCGTAAAGTTTTAATGTTTGACAGTTTGAGTATTTATGTAGTACTGTTACTAGTGACAATTATCTTACTAATAATTAAAAATAATAAAGATAATGTAGATTAAAATTATTTTTTATTTTTTGGTAAAAACTAATAATTTATGAGTATAAAAAAAATGTAATTATGAATAAATATCTCAATAATGTCAATGGTATTAAAAAATGACTATAAAGCGCGTTATGATTTTATTAAAATTATTTTTTTTAGCTTGAATTTTCTAAAATTCTTTAAAAACTTCAAAGCACAATGATCATTTAATTGTAATACAGAAGTCATTTCACGTCATTTCAGCGTAACCTACACTAAATTTCTATAAATAATGTGTGATATTGAGTTCAGGGATTATTAAACATGATTAACGCATGATGTTAGCAGTTTTACTATGCATCAAAATTAAGTTTTCGAACTTAGTTAAAACGCTAACGACTTTCTTTTTTAATTACACAAGGTTAGATCTGTGACTTATAAAATTAAATGGGAATGATGAAAATTTGATAATTTCTAGAAAATTAGTTAAATTATTGAACAGAATTTATTATTAAGCACTTTTTAAATGAATTAAATTTATGGACTCCAACTAAAAATTAGTAATTGGAATAAAATATAAGAATAATATGACTGGATTATAAGAAACTTTGAAACATTATTATTAGGAGTAGTGAAGTCCTCCCAGAAAAAAGCAGATTAAATTTGAATAATATCGCGGTCTATTTTTAAAATATGTCATCTCAAATTGTTATTTAAAAATTAATTGTTAATCTACCATATATTTTTTCATTAAATATTGTTTAATTTTTTAGTAATATAAAAATATGTTATTATATTTAACCATATGAAAATAAAATTTAATTTTACATCATACTCATATAAAAACGAATATATTATAAAAAATTGTTTGTAATTTGATGTATAAAGGATAATTTCTAAAAAGAATACTTTTTATTTTATTCATATAAATGTATATCTATTTTTTGATGCAGAACATTACATTGCAAAACATTTACCACGTAGAAAGTACAATAGTAAATATTTATATAACAAGTAAAAAAATGTATGATTTACTTATTATTGATTCAGCTCAATTGATATACTCACACTAAGTATGTGTGTGAAGTGTCTCATAATATAACAAAAGTTAGTAATGGATCTTTCGTAACTTATAATACTAACAAATTTATAGTTTGTGACATAAAACTATTAAACGAGATGAAACTTTCTGTACACGTTGCGTTCCAACTTCACAATATATGTATAGTTTAGACATAAGACAATAATAAATCGCTTACTGTTTTTTCATTATCATTATACCAAGTGATTAGAAAACTTGTGTTTTTCAAACTCGTTTTCGAATTTCGGAAATATTTGAACGAAAATACAGAACTATACTGAGAAATTTCGTTCAAAATAATTTTGTATGTAAGTAAGTCGTCCTATTTTATCTAGTGATGTTTTTTCTCGCATTTTTATAAAGGTTAAATAAGGTTGCTTGTCTGATAGACGTTCAATTTCGTTGCTCGTCTGTCAGGTTATCGAGAGTAGTGTGCTGATGGATATTTAGGCGCGGTCTAATGTATCCAAGTTTATATTTAACCTACAGAAGTGTATTTATTCATTGTCTCGATGGAATGTTGAAGTTTATTCATTGTCTAAAGTGAACACAGTCAATTCCCAGTCGTAATTTCCTACACAATAATAATATAATGTTAACAGAAAACAAAAACCTAATGATAAAGCGATACTTCTTTATCTTATTTTGTAAACTGTATTCCACTATTCTTAAACTTTGATTTACGTAGATGCTGTTATTATGTCATTTGTTAGGTAAAGTTTGACGCCCACAAAAAAAAAAAATGGCATTAAACCTTGTCATTAGTCTAGTGCGTGCCTTTGAATCTATGATGGCAAATAACCTAATATATCTACATGGGTTTCTCTTGATTAATCTTTGTGTTTACATTTAACTGAAACGAATAACATATCTAAAATATTATCAATGTTTACAAAACATCAACTTTGAATAAAGGTAGGTCGTAAGTCTAACTTAATGTTTTAAGTTTTTATCAAGTGAATATGGTGAAGTTTGTTAATAGTGATAAAAAAAAAATGTATGCATGTTTAGTTTGCACATCGATGCGTTTACACTTAACCTTATGTTAAATTTACTGAACGAAATACTTTTTATTAAAATAACTTAAAAATGATCTCAAAAATGATCATATTAATATTATAACAACATATAAAACGCTTTATTATCATTATGATCATCATCATTATTGAAATATATCACAAGAACATACAATATTATAGTACATATTAGATATATTCCTGCTGTTAATCATTTTCATAAATATTTTTTGTAATAGTTTGAGAAACATTTTTTATTATAATTTTTAGTGATTAGCTTGCATTGTGGTAATTTCCCTCATTAATCGTGACTTTTTCAAGCAATTAATAACACACTATAATTACATTTATTTGATTATGCGTCTTTTTTTTTTGTCATCCGACAAGCAGAACTAAGCGTGACAAGTTTCTTAATGAACGGTCGCATATGCGCTAATCTCATGGGACATTGTTTTACGCGTTAATTTGATTACATAGCAATGGATGTATATAATAATACGTATTGTTTGTTTTTCGAAAATTGCATTCACTGTTGTAGACGGGTGAGGAAAAACAATTTCAGTGTACGCTTTTGATATTTCATTACACAACAACGCCATACGTTATGGAATGCTAATACATTTTTGAATTTTGTCTTTTTGACGATATTTAATAGAAAATAAGTAAATAACATTTTAAAATGTCTTCGAATTTAAAACATAAAAATATGAATAATAATGAATACCAATAAAAAAGGAAATCTTTAATTTCTAGAAAAAAAATTTCTACGAAATTCTTTGCAAAAGCCACGTAAACAGGTTACCGAGAAAGATATTATATTTAGTATATCATTAATTTATTAGTACTCTATTAGCACGGGGTAATACCGAAAAGGCTTTTGGAGTACTTGAATGGATATTAGACAGTTATGGGAAATTTCAAATTAATGTTCATTAATCCTAAAGAATTTCGATGTGTAAGAAGTTTTGTGTCAAATATCCAAGGATGGCTAATTTTGGGAAGCCTCTCATATTATTTACAGTTTTTTTAGAATTGGATTTGGGGAAGCTTTTAATCTTTCTATACTATTGCACTTAACTCCCCACTAGGGAAGCATTTAGGAACTTTCGAGGGAATCACAATGCTACTAAAATAGAGTATAGTAACCGAGAGTTTTAAAATTCAAAACGTCGTTTTACACAGTTCTGTTTAAAATTATATTTATAAAAGCCAAACTGAAAAATTGTATGATTCATAGTGATTCTTCTTGTTATGTAGCATTGAAACCTCATCTTAGAATATAATTACTAAATATCTGTTGATTATTTTTACTGTAAGAAAGTAATTAAAAAGACAGTCGGTACTACTATTACAAATACAAGTAACTTGATAAATAAACTTAAGAACTTCATAAATGTTTTAATTGTGCTTAGATAATTTATTTGAAGTTTGTTTTATAAAAGTTTAGCTGTAAAGGGAAATTGTGAGAACTCAACTCATGTCATTCAGTGTTTAAGTTTTAAAAACGATTCACACAAAACATTTTTACTGTAATTTTATATACAACTGAATAGACAACTTAATCTTGACGTTGTTAATGGTTTATTCATCCGGCTGTCTGGTCGGTTTCCGATTAATAGCTAGATTAGTTGGAAAGTTTGAACAAAATATATGGATCAGTTGTTCTGTCAGATTTCATTAAAGAATGTGTCTTTTCGGCATATTTTGACATTTTATGAATTGTTTCAAAATGCGCTATAATAATAAACGTATGATTTTTATTATTATCTATAATCTTTTCTAACTTTGATCAACTGAAAATCTATCGTAGTTACAATTTATGCCATTTATTTTATACTTTGATTGTAATCGAAATTATGAATAATAATTCAATATATCTTCCAGATTTAAATATTATTGGTATTTTTAATTTTTAACTTTATTAACAACATTCAACAAAATAGTTTTAGATACACGTTTTTCTATAAAAAAAAAGTATATCATTGAAAACAATTTTCGTAAGTGTGATAATTAATTTGATTTTCTATTAAATATTTAATATTTTAAGTAGTTATTCTTTTTTTTTATTTTTGTAACGGATATCAGAAGCAATACTGTTTGACAGTGATACTTAAAAAATAATTAAAATAATCTATGAGGTATTATATTTATTCGTTAGTCTATTCCAAATATCATTTAAATATTTAGAATAGATTTTGTTTACGCATTTAATTATAGAGAAATTTTTTTTATAATGGCATAAACATTAATATTTATGTTAATTGTAGTCACTTATTCGTTTTTTTTATTGAATTATTTATGAAATTAAACTTTTTTTAAAGATAATTTTCATGATTTTTAATGTAAACATGTTATTATCAAATAAAATTATAGATTTATTTGATGTTTAGAGTTAATGTTGTTAATGAGTTAACCAGTAGTTCTTAATGTAGGGGGAAATGATTCCTTAGGGTCAGTTTAATTCTTCAGAGAAAATTTTAATAGGCTTTGGGGAGTATAAACTTTTAAATGTAAAATGAAAAGAGCATCTAATGTTTCTAAAGCCTATAAAACAGAATAGGTTAAGAATAACTTAATCAAACAATTTTAAATGATATAACGAAATATTTGTTAGATTGTAAAATTTTTGATAAACTTATGTTAATGTGACGTATAAATTTTTGTATCACGATTTTGTCAATCTTAGAGTAGAATTAATGTTGACAAGCAAACTATTTTTTTATGTAAAAATAAAAAAAAACACTACCCTTCGCCACATTTTTCTTTTATATATATATATATATATTTTGTTTGAAATATTTTACTTACGTTATTTGAGGTGGTGGAAACCCGTAAACATCACATGGCAACAACAAGTGATCACCTTGTTTCACCAAATGCACCGTGTAAACAGCTGACTTGGACCAAGGAGCCATAGTTCGATTGCTCTCTGCGGATCATAATAAAAATATGTTATTATTAGTTATAGATAGAAATGTTAATAAAAACAACAAGGCGCTGCAAAATAATTAATTAACTCCAAGGCGGTGGTAATTTACCACCAGAAAGTAACCGTGGTTACTTCACGGTCGAAGGAGTACAGTTGGTTTTTAATTAAAATTTCCGTTAAATTATGCGTGACTTCACTACGAGACCGCTACAAACTCGACGGCCTAGGGGTGTAGAGTGGATACAACAATGAAGAATGGAAATTAAAATAAAAAAAGTCTACCCTTTGTATAATTATTTTACACGAATTATTTTGCATCATTTCGACGATTTTTTTTGGATTTGATAAAAGCATTTTTTTACACATACTCATGAATCGACAATTATGGTGTAATGAACCATGAACGCACATTCGCTTGGATTTTGCATGCAAAATTCTACGCATTTGTATTTTATTCGATCTGGAGTTGATTAAAATAATGGTGTAATATGTTTACTAGAAAATTGAGTGCAACTCAAATTGATTTTGTCTTAAATTAGTTCACCCTATTTTATTTATTTTTATCCATCGGTTGAAATTATAAAATTCATGTAAAATTAATTAAATTTATTTAACGATTCGCATTTTTTTTATGTTGTGTTGCAAAAAATCATAAATAGTTTACTATCAATGAGTAATTGAGTTAATGTTTTTATATTTGTTCATTCATTTTCATTGCTTTAATTAAATTAACTATCAGATTTATATCAGCACTTTTAGCATATTCAGTTTCTGTGAAATCTATAATACTATTGTTTAATGGATATTTTGATGTAAAAATGATTGAAGTTTTAATGATAAAAAAATGTATTGTTGAAATTTCCTAACTAGGTTTTATATCAAAGTATATTAGATTACTTAATAAAATTAAGAGATATGTATTGAGAAATGTGGTAGCCCAGAAACACTACATTGTGCCTATAAACTAAAGCGAAAACATTATTTTTTTGCTTAATAACTCTATTGTGATGGTAACTTTTCCGTGGGCATTATTGATTGCATACACTAGTTTTTTATGCAGTCATAGTATTATTTAATGTTTTATTTTAAACTTATTTTTTTGATATGTGATTATTACCCATGAATATTTTTTGTGAAATGTCATCACACGCTAAAAAAAATTATTACATCATATAAAGTTAGATTTTTCTATTTTGTTGCTTATACATACTCTGTGAAATTACATTTATGCAATAAGGAACATAGAAATTTAAATAACTGTCAAGTAGTAAACTCGATGAATCTGTTAGAAATTTAGACTTAAATGTCTTAGATTTTCTAAATGATTTATTTTTTATGAATTTTTATTATTAATTAATTATTAATTGATGAGAATTTGGGGGATATTATAGTTATGAATCTTTTATTACATTGACTTTATCATCTTTAACGTAATTGTAAAACAAAAAGTGATTCATATTTCGGTACCACACATGTCTGAAATTCATTTCATCTTTTTCTTTACTCAGAATATTATAGTTTATATTAAAAAAAAATTGAAATTCTATAAATGCAACTTTATTGTCGCTGGTTTAGTTGTTTATTTATATTTCGCGAGAGACTTTTTTACAATCTATAATTGTAATATAAAAACAGCTTTATATATTTTGAAATTCTCGAGGAACCTTAATTAGTTTTGAATTTACGTGACATCTTTTCTTTTATGAAATGATGTTTGTTATAAATATTAACGATAAAAACTGAAATAACTACACAGAAAATTAATAAAATATTTCTAATCAGCTAATACATTAATTAGTACATTATTATTTTTTACATCTATGAAAGATGGTATCGAAAAAATTTTATAATCGTATATTTTGGGAAGATTTTTCGTTATAAAGATTTATATATAAAAAAGAGCACAAATAAAATAGGTCTGAATTATATTAAGTAAAAATATACTAGGAAAATTTGTATTGGATGATTTTATTCAGTAAGGTAGTCAAGTTGAAGTTAGAGTGCCGGTAATACAATTTGAACTATTCCATCATATGTTTAGCTTTCAAGTTACAATTCTCTGCAGCGTAGAAACTATTGTCACAAACACTCTAGTTTTCCATTTATATGTTCCTTACGTCTAATAGTTACATAATAGTAATAAACTACTACATTGTACCAAGAGGATTTCCTTATGTTTCGAATAGTACCGGAATTACCATTTGCGGTTAGTCATGTCACAGTTCATGTCAGCTCATGTTTGATGAAAATATCGACCTTTATTAGTGTCTCGTCAACACTATTTCCATAAACCATTTATCAACCCCATTATCGTATCGGAAACTTACCCGGCATGTACACAACACACTCGTCTAATGACTAAAATCGATTACTAAGTGTCGACCTACTGTCGTTTAATTTAGCCTGGATGTCTCTCTAAAATTCCCATGAATTAATTTCCCATAAAAATTTTCGATATCGATCAAACTGCCTGATATATAATAATACTATTAATGGTTAATTTATTATAGCTAAATTAATGTAACTTTATTGTAAAATTCAGAAAACTTTTATATGATTCGAATAAATTAAAAACAATCGTTATCCATTTCCTAATTGGGTGCAACTAATTTTGTCTATTAATATTACCGTAACTTTGATACAAATTCATTAAAATTATTCGATTTTTTTAATTACACTACACAAAATGCGTAAGACAGACTACCCGTTGTATTGTATTATTTTATCAGACGTCTTATTAATGGATATTTCTGGATATATAAATATTCATATTTGTAAAAAAGACTAACCGAAGACTATGAAATTGTTTAATGTATTCTTGGAAACCTGAGATTCATGAATTTTCATTAATTTGTAATAAAACTTACGGTTATATCTTTAATAAAAAATTATAATTTTAATTTACTATAAAAACTGTTTCAAGAATTCGGACAAAATAAAAAAGTGATATTTAAATATAAAATTTGTGTTAATGGCACATTTTCACAAAAATCATTGTAAAATAAGATGTGTAAATAGATAACAAATAAAATATCACAAAAATTCTTTAAATTAACGACAAAAACTTAAATATAATTTAAACATGCTACATGCATAGCTCATTTAACGGCGTTAAATTTTAAACATTGAAAATTTTAAAATTTATAGAATAGTATAATAGTAAATTTTTTTTGACAAATACGAAGAAATTAATTAATTTATTAACCAAACAAGTCCGCTAACTGTGTCTCACGAAATATTTTCAAAATTATATGATAAAATATAATTGTTTTCTTTCCAAAAGTTATGAGTTACATAATTATAACTACTCTCTTATATTAGCAGAAAAAAATATAAATTTATATCATCTTCTTACTTCTTTAAATTCTATCATTATTCGTTTATTTTTATGGAAATGGGCATGTTTAATTTTCTTACAAATAAGGAAATGATCTACCTAACATAATAACTCATACGCATGTCGTTAATTCTTCTTCTTCTTCTTCTTCCTCGCCTTAATCCCAAATACTTGGGATCGGCCACCCTTATCCTAAACTTCCACTTGACGCGATCTCCCACATCAACTACGCTCACATCAGATGCCCTCAAATAGCATTCAATAGCATCCTTCCATCTCTTTTTTTTTTTTTTTTAACGCATGTCGTTAATAACTTTTAAATTATTATATTAAAAGATATCAGCTTTCTTATATTAGGGTGGGAGGAATAGCGTGATATATATATATATATAAGATTAGAGATAAAAATTGATAAACTCGCTCTGTACCTCTAATGTTTTTAAGTGTAAATAATTTCCAAAATATAGTTTCAAAAGTTGTTGTCAACCGCTTAATTTCTTAGTTAGATAATTTTTTTATTTGTAATCTAGTTAAATATATATATTTCCGATAAAAAAACTAAAGATAATACAATTGAAAGAAATAAGAAGGGGTTAGGACTATATATTTGTGTTAATATAAATGTGTAGGATACTAATAACTTCTGAAAAAAAAAAAAAATTATATTTTATCATATAATTTTGAAAATATTACATGAGACATAGTTAGCAGATGACCCTGTTTAAGTAAAAATGATGACGAAAAAATTCTGTATAATATTTCCACTTGATGTGATTTATTTTGCAATAACTTTTTAGAAACACCATAAGATTTAATATTTCATAATACAAGGATTTCGGTAAATTAAATTTTATAAAGATACGTACGTTAAAGATATACAGGATGGCCCACCACTCACTGACAACTTAAATAACTTTTGATCCAGTTAATATTTTTAGTTGATTTTTTTTTTTAATATTAGTTAGACGTTAGGTCTATAGCTATATCTCAATAATTAATTTTTTTACATTTTATTAAAAATATTAATTATTTTTAAATTTTAAATAAAATGTAAAAAAAAATTCTAAGATAGCTATTTTGTAGAGTAGAATTTAAGAAAAATTTTAGTAAAAAAATATCTTATTAATATTCAGTAGTAAATATTCTGTAGCGTTTTGAAGTTTGTGAAAATTTGAATTTTCATGTACTATTTTACGGTATTAAACATTGAAATACGTATTGAGAAAAGGACAGAAGAAAACGCTATCTTTTCATGATTACTGTGTATACATATGATGATAATGTGTATACATTACAAACTTGGCATTAATACCATGATAAGAAATTAGATAAGGCAATTATTACTTATCACTCTCATTCAAAAGTATATTGAAAAGATAGCGTTTTCTTCTGTCCTTTTCTCAATACGTATTTCAATGTTTAATACCGTAAAATAGTACATGAAAATTCAAATTTTCACAAACTTCAAAACGCTACAGAATATTTACTACTGAATATTAATAAGATATTTTTTTACTAAAATTTTTCTTAAATTCTACTCTACAAAATAGCTATCTTAGATTTTTTTTTTACATTTTATTTAAAATTTAAAAATAATTAATATTTTTAATAAAATGTAAAAAAATTAATTATTGAGATATAGCTATAGACCTAACGTCTAACTAATATTTAAAAAAAAAATCAACTAAAAATATTAACTGGATCAAAAGATATTTAAGTTGTCAGTGAGTGGTGGGCCACCCTGTATAAGTTCTACGGAATAAATAACATAGGTTTCAAATCTCTTTCCACAAAAGGTGAAAATGTTTATATAAAAAAATAATGCTCGGTAATCATAATAATGTTTAAGTGTTACAACTAAAGATTAATTATTTATAAAAAAATATTATTCTCAAAAATTAGGAATGAAAACTAATTTTAATTAAGAGAAAAAAGGTTTTATTTTAGTTCAGGTCACAGAACCCTACTAATTTAAAAATTTGATAGATGTACTGGTTTATGTATCTAAAATTAAATTAAAAAGACAATAAAAATTAGTATAAAATTTTGAAAATTAATAGATTAAAAAAAAAAAAGGCAAACGGTGTATAATCATAATTTAATTATCTATGATTCATGTAGATGTGAAGTGCTGAATCTTGATAATTATATAGAATGTGTACGTTTATACATATTTTAAAGTTGAAATACAAATTTCATTATGTTGCTCAGAAATATTTTTATAGTTGTTAAATCATCATCATAATTAGCAGGAATTAATAATTGAAAATTTTAAGCTAATCAATAATGGATATATACTTCATACAAGCACTTGTATCATAGTTATTTATACTTTGTTATAATAAATTAAAAAATAACTACCAAAGTAAATTCTGCCGAATGTACTACTTTCTTGAGTAAATCCTGTCAATTTATTCACTATGCGGCATGTGTAACTGTGTCTCAGATCGTTCTCGTCCACATTGGCTATTCTTAATTCACCAGTTTTCGGTACCATAATTATCTTTGAGTCTAAAAAATTAAAATGAATTAGATATAATTAAAAATAAATTTTTTTTTATTAATTTTATAGTACACATACGAGTCAAATAATGATGAGTTGAGAAGAATCATTAATTATTTTGTAGAAAGAATTGAAAAGAATTTGACAACAAATTTGTGTAATTAGAATTACGTTTAAAATCCGAATGATTAATTAAAAAATGTATTGACTAAAATTTCAAATTATTTGTAAGTGTAACAATTTTAAGGCTACTGGCTTTAGCCAAACGATAAAACGCTCAGACGTGCGTTTACTCTGATCAAAACAACGCCTCTTTCTGCAATTTCCATAATAAACTTTGGATGATAATTTAAGCGTGGATATTAATTTACATTTTCTCAAGACGATAGATAGTTTGAATTTAATCTAAGAAATATTGTTCTTTGATTTTATGGGTATAGTTGGGGGGTTTCGATTTAATGTGATATTACAGGCAGTCTCAAAATAATTGATTTATCCTAAGGTGTATTTTTAATAAGGAGTATCTANTTAATTTACATTTTCTCAAGACGATAGATAGTTTGAATTTAATCTAAGAAATATTGTTCTTTGATTTTATGGGTATAGTTGGGTTTCGATTTAATGTGATATTACAGGCAGTCTCAAAATAATTGATTTATCCTAAGGTGTATTTTTAATAAGGAGTATCTTCTAAAATTTTAAGTTTTAATAAATCGCTATTGTGAGAAAAGTACATAAAATGTTAACAACTGACTGATTTTTTTTTGGAATTTAAATATACCAGAGGGATTTTGCTATAAGAGCTATTTGAAACTAATAAAAAATACAATTCTAATGGGAAAATACGAAGAAAGACTTTCGAATCTGAAATTGTATTTTTTTGACGACAATCTTGAATTCAAAAACGCATTTATTTTCATTAAAGTTGTATGCTGTGATTGTTTATGTTAACGTAAATTAAATATTCAACGTCGTTGTTTATTAAAAAAAACGGCGAACTGCAGGCTCGTGCCAACCACAGTTTTTCGACCGCTTATTAAATTATTTTTTCTCATTTAAAAGATTAACAAGTTAGAAACTCCGGTGGGTAAGTAATAAAAGTAAAATAAAAAATCTTCTACAAGCGGTTTTCTTATAAATTAACTACTACATCTTTAGAGAACAATAGAATAATGTAAAATTTTTTCACAATTCATTTCAAAAGTTTGCTAAAGCGGGTAGTTGACGATATTAAACTTTTAGATTTTTCCTGACTTCTATAAATGGTTTTAAAATCTTAAATTTACATATGAACTACTTCTATATCCAGCCTAAAACTACATTTTATTTTCAATCGTCTCTTTCATCTAAGGTGTGAAATATGAGTTTTCTTGGAAATTGTTGTTTGTTTATCAGGTAAGATAACGAATGGGTTTGAGTAAGATGAAAAAAAACGATTGTAAAATTTTGTAACCAGAATTATTATTAGAGAAATTAGTCTCTTATGAATTAATAAGTATAAAGTAACACTTTTAAAATATTAGAGATCTTTAGAGAAATTTGAAAAATTTTCCTCAGCGTACAGATACCTAGATTTTTAAGTTCAAAAAATTACATCAAAAGACGCTAAATATGAATTTTTAATTATAACTAAAAGTAACGTATGTTTGTATTGTGAGTAGCTAAGTGTACTGTAAGATGCTTTTATGCTAGTAAGGATATGCTTCCATATGTGACTGATTTTGAAAAATACTGAATTCGACATCTTCTCTAATCAAATAAATAAAACAATTTATTGAATAATTCTAAGTATTTGATAGTATAATATATATTTGTAGTTATCATGCTACTTGAATAGTATCTTGAAAATTTAATTATGTTTTGATGTAATTACTTTTTTTATCATTAAATTTCCTATTCGTGCTATTCATAATATATTCCTTTTATATAGATTCTATTTAAAAATAAAGTAAAATAGCTATGGCATTAGTCACATTCAAAATCTATGTATAGATTTTGAAAATAAATATACGTGTACAATATTGAAATACAGTTGTCCTTACCGATTTCCCAAGAGGGAAATATATTGAAAACACCATCTTGGACCCAGGAAGTTATAGCCACAGATTCGGGTAGTCCGCTGTTGATGCTGTAACTTAATCCAGGTATATGACATGTAAAAACGGCTACGTTACCGGGCATTGTAACTGTATCTCTAACTATCGGCTCGAAATTCCTTATTACTTCTAAAAAAAAAAGGTTTATCTTATCAAATAAAAGTTCAAATCAATTATTACATTTACAGTAAAATATGAATAATAATATAAATGACTAGATTAGTATAAAAAATATTTTACTTATAAAGAGTGATTATTTTATTGTGTACCACTTATTTAATCGATAGTTAAAATTATATTTTTTTCTATTTATCAAACATGAAATATTTAAAACAAATTTTTAATTTTTTTTTAGTTACATATATGACTTGATTTATCAGCTACTAATTACTATTTAGCAACATCTTCCATACCATGATAAAATTGTTAACTTTATTTTTTCAAATAGATAGAAATAAAATTTTATTGTGAGAATGATGTATCGATTACTTTTGGGTGAGTATTTCAGAAGTTATTAACATTAATACACCTAGACGGTAGGAGGATTGAGGCCAAGAAATGTCTAATGATAAAAATAGCAGCACCCACTCCTCACCTATAGTCATTACTTTAAATTGTTAATAGCTTCTGAAATACTGGTCTAAAAGTTGTTATTGAGCAATTATTTTTTTAATTACAGTTAATTTTCTTTTTCATAAGCTAGTTAATTACGTGCGTTGCAAATTGAAAAATTAAAGTTTACACCTTCATTAGGTATAAGGTATAAACATAAAAAATATTTCATGAAAAATAAATGTAAAAAACAATAACAAAAAAAAAAAATTATTATTTTAAGAGAAATTGAATGGGTAGCATTAAAAGAATCAGTATTTTAAGTAATTTTTATAAACATACAGGATTTATGAAAATTACTTTTATCATAATTAACACGATAAAAATTAAATAACTTATATTCAAAGATCATTCTAACATTTTACTTGAGATAAAAGGGTTAATTTAATATTTGGTCTTCAAAATCGAAACGTATGATACGGGAAAAATGGATTAATGGTTATGTTTGAAGTTTGGTGATAGTTTTCAAATCGATGGTTTGTGAAGGAAAGATACATACAGAGTGTTCAGTAAGTAAGGACACAGGTCAGCTGTTACAAAAAATGAGAACAATAGAAACCCGTTTTCTTATTTACTGAACACTCTTTATAAAAGAATACAAATGCATACAAAATATTTAAGGATCAAAAAGGTATTCCATTATTTTATCATTACCGATTACGTTCAATCGGTTAATGGCTAACAATAGGTAGGGAAAGTACAGGTTCTTTCATTTTAAAATACAATTCATTTTAAACAAAGAGTAAACCTTTTTTTTATTTTCCTTAACATTTGCTGTATAGTTATCTATACTTTATCTGACACTTTGTACATATTATATTAGTGTAAGGGTCAATGGCATTAAATATGTTTACTTGCCGTAAAATAAACTTTGATTGTTTGGTTAACTCATGCCAACAATGAACGTCAACATGTGGGAAATATAACAAATTTAATATCATTTTTGACTTAATAGCATTAATTTTATTTATGATAATTGATTTATAATTTTTGATGCTTATATTTATAATTGAATAACTGTAATAGAATTAATAATAATAGCACACAAATAGTTTTAATTTTGTGGATAAACTATTGTAATTACACCAAATAACTATGACGATGTGGGGGTAATATAAATGCATTTTTTTAGATAAATGTACAAGTTTTTATGTCAAATTAACATTTAATATGATGGCAAAAAAAAAGAAGATTTAGAAATTTTCAAAAAATAAGAAATAAAAAGAACGGCGTGTATTGTAAAATTCTCAAAGTGTTTTACTTGTAGTTTTTAAAATATATAATAAATGATTAGCATGTAACATAATATGAAAAACACTAAAGTTGTTTTCCCTCTATTATGTAAACTGTGATTATACACGTTAAAAAATAACTGACGCTGTCAACATTTTTGTGAAATTTCACCGTCGTTTACAACTGTCAGTTAGGTTGTAACCCATAGATCGTTTATCACGCAAGATATTTAAAGGTTTGCGATTGTTGCTTCACTAGAGGTCACGCTTTATTGTTCATCACTTTGGTTTAACAGTCTACCAATGATATTTGTTAAAAAAATCATCAATACATACGAACAATTTATTATTTTTTTCGCAAAAATTTGATTTATCAAACTTGAAATTATTGTAACATAATATAATTTAATATGTTTTAAACGTAAAATACAATGTATGTTAATATTTGTAATGTTTATAGGCATTGTATAAGATATCCAATAATTTTTTATTTTAATCAATTGCTGTCTGGATAAATATGACAAATCGTGTAAAATTAATATATATATATATTTTAAGCAAAGAGTTAATCTAAAATTATAATATTAATATTTTGAAGTATGTTCTTGTATGGCATTTCAGTATAATAAAACAACTCTTAAGAATTGTATCAAAATATTATTTTCTTTTACAATATATCATAAGTAAATTAACTAAAATTATTTAAACCGTAAAATATATACGAATAGAAATCTATAAATTATATTTGTCATCTTTTTTATTCTAATCTTAATAATTAAACGCATTGTGTCATCCCTATTCTTAAGTATAAAAAAACTATACTAAAATTATATAAAATGTCAAGATAATTATTTAACTATTCATCTGTAATAATTTCTATATTTTATTTTTACTTATCAATATACAGTAATATTTTAAGAGTGAGACAATGATGATTTTCGGGGTTATAACGTATTATAAAAAGATAGAGCAAACCCTTTTACTCTTGTTTTTTGTTCTTATCGTGCTCTAGATATCATTACGCGAACATTGCGATTATCATTGTCGAAGTTTTTATTTATTTAAGTTGTGAACTTAATCGAATAGTGTTATTTAATTTATCAATTATCGATCAACACTATTACTTAAGATATTATAAGAACCAAGAAAAATCATCAGGTAAGATTTAAAAATCAAAAGAGTCTATATTTATGTTATTTTATTACCCTCTAATCACACTCCGAATTAAAGTAACTCACACTTTTAAACATTTTATCCTAGACACACATTTCTCTTTATTTTATTAAGTTTTGAGTTCTGATACTTTTGTTCTGTGGAATTATATGAAATTGAAAAGAGTAAATTATTTTTACCATAATTTTTAGAAGCGTTATATTTTTTTAAAACTGAATTCCAGTACGTTCTACAAAAATAGTATATAATTTTTAAAAAAATATTAGGATGAATTAATATAATTTATTAAGTACATTAATTTTGACAAATAGATTATATAATAGAATATGTATTATGTTTATAGATGTAGTATATATGGTTAATTTTCATTAATAATGGCATTTGAGTTTCATTATTAATTAATAATTGCACGAATTTACTATACACAATAGAATAAGACAAATTTATTATGGTCGTAATTAAAAATGAAAAATAATAATTATATAAACAGTCGTACACTTATAATGTCTATTATAATATAGAGTCAAAGTTTTAGTTAGCAGAAGTTTTAGATTGCACTAATGTTGAAACAAAAGTTGTAATATGTAAGTTGTAATATTTGTATAATCAAATAATTCACTACAAAATTTTATTAAATACTATATACATGGAATACTGCACGTAAATGTAAGGGCATATTATGAACAATGATATTTTTATCAAATCATTTAAAGATAATTTATGTATAGGGGAATTGCATAAATTAAACCAACTAAAATATTTATATTTATACAGATTGATTAATTTTTTATGCATCGCTTAATTCATAAAAAAATAAAAATTATATATTATATAAATACTGATTCATAAGTTATTATGGGCCAGTTAATTTACTAATTAAATCATTACACACTAAAAGAGCTAGTTACGTATATAAGACGCTATTTAAAACATTTTATTTTACTGCTTTATAAAGTATAAGAAATAAACATAAAAATACTTCATGATTGATAAATCAAGAAAAATATATATCTAAAAAAAAAAATATTCTCAATATTATTGTTTATTTTTCGATAAATTAAGTAATAAACGATTAATTACTCTGTAATTATGTATCATATATAGGAATAAAAGTAAACTGAATTTTAAATATCATCGATATTTTAGAGTAAACGGAGAATATCAATATGTTTATTACATTTCTAAATTTCCCGATTAAAAAATTATAATAATTTCTTATTTAAGATTCATAAATATTGTCGCTGCTTGTAAGTTATATTTTTTTATACTGAATTTGATATTTATATTTTTTTATAAACTTTATAAATCATTTTGGTAGTGTATTTAATTTAGAAATAGGACGATAGTTACGTAAATCATATCTATCTGCTGGCTTAAATATTAGATATGAATAACTAAATTTCTACTAATAGGGAAATACACCAGGCAAAGATTATGAAAACAAATAATGAATAGGACGAGTAAGAACATATTTACATTTACGATATACTATGTCAAGAATTGAATTAGAACCGAGAGCACTACTAAAATCTAATTATATGACACCCTGAAATACTTCAATTGCTAATAATTTACATTTATTCAAATAAACTACATCCGTAGATTTCGATAGCAAAAAATTATTAATTAAATTGCCATCTGTTCAATCTACCGAATCAAAAAAGAAATAAAAATATAAACATATAACATATATTTGATTAATTTCCTCCTTATTTTCTCCTATTAACACTATATCGTCAGTATACAACATGAACCACGACACTTTTTCTTGTATTTTTTTAGTAATTTCATCCATCTCTATAGAGAATAAGTAAAGGCTTAAAGCAGAACCTTGGTGCACTCCTACTCTTACCCGAAAACCTTCTATTACTCCTCCTACGCTTTTTACCCTACTACAAGTGCCATTATACATATCTTCTATTATATTAATGTACCTTTTTGGGACTCCTGTTCTCATTAATTTCTTCAAATCTATAAATACCATACACAGCTTTTTCTTCGTTTCTCTAAACTTTTCTATTAGTTACCTCACACAAAATACTGGCTCCATTGTTGACTTACCAATCAAAACTGGTTTTTAGATACCGATGTCTCATTTCTTATTCAATTATC